TTATTGTTGACATAAAAACAGTAAGATAAAGGGTCTTATTATCTAAATTCGTCTAGCCCCATGATACAATGTTCGTCAAAACAGAGTACAAAAATTAAAAAACAGGGCATGATTTTGATTCGTACAACAACAAAAATTTTGAGCACCAAAACAATTTCTTTGAAGTTTATGACAAAATTTGCAACAAATTAAGTGCAAAGAGCAAGCAAAATCATGAAGAATAAGTCACATTGTACTCACAAACCTAGAGTGTTCAACAATGGCAAAATGTTCGTTTCTTCACCAAATCAAGCAATTCTAGTCTCAAAACGTTCACAAAATAATATACAAACAATTTCATCGCAAGAAATTCAACAAAAATTGAGCAAATAACATAAACATTTTCGGATTTTTTGGAAATTCGCAAGATAAATGCTTGAAATTCACCGAAAACAGGAAGAGTTTGAGCAAAAATTACATAGATCGGTGTAATATAGTAAAAATGCAACGATTTGAAATAAGTTTGAGTTAATTTGGTGAGAAATAGCCAAGAACGAGCAAGATGATGTTTTGAGGGCGACGAGCGAAAGCACGAACAACAGCGATGAAATGAAGAAGAAAAGGGTTTAAATTCGCAAAACGTGAATTTATCGGAGCGCAACAGATTTATCTCGACACGATAAGCCTGTCGCGGCGCGATAGACTTGTCACCGCGCGATAACCTTGATTTCGCCTGCGTTAACTTTTGGGGTCCCACAATTTGGCTTGATGACCAACATTTATCCATTTGAGCTCCTTGATACACAATTGAGTCTTTAATTTGATTACTAATCAGCACGATTACAATTTTGATTGATGATCGGCCTAATGATGTCCACCTCATTGATTAAGCACGCCTAAGCATTGGCTAAAGGCATTTAAGAGCGCCTAAGCATTGGCTAAGCATGCTCACCTATGCATTGGTTGAGTACATTTCTATACACCTAAGCATTAGTCGAGCACATTTCAATATACTAAGCATTGGTTGAGTCCGCCTAAGCATTGGTGGAGTACATTAGTGATTGAGCATACACTACAAAAAAAATGTCCATATAGAAACGAAATTCTAGCGACGGAATTCAATCCATTTCTAAATTAAAGACGGAATTAAAATATCCGTCTCTAAATTAATTTTAAAACGGAATTAAAAAATCCGTTTCTAAATTAGAGACGAAATAAAAAAAAAATTCTCTAAATTAGAAACGGATTTTTTTCCGTTGGTAAATTAGAAACAGATTTTTTTTCCCGTTGCTAAATTTAGAGATAGATTTTTTTTTTGTTGCTAAATTAAAGACGGATTTTTTTTTTTTCAGTTGCTGATATGAGCGACAGATTTTTAATTCTGTCTCTAAATTATTTTCAAAACGAATTATGTAAATTATTACTTTAGAGACGAATTATGTTAACTTAAATCCGTCTCTAAACTAGAAACGGATTTGAAAATCTGTCTCTAAACTAGTGACTGATTTGAAAATCCGTCTCTGAACTAGAGACTGATTTGAACATTCGTCTCTGAACTAGAGACGGATTTGAAAATCCATCTCTGAACTAGAGACGGATTTAAAAATCTTTCTCTAAACTAGAGACGAATTTTAAATTCAGTCTCTAATATTTCTTTCACTAATTATCAATTATGCGTGTAGAAATAAACAAATAATTTTTGGTATAATTGGTAAAAGTTTCACTATGTGATTTTGAGGTCGTGGGTTCGACTCCTACCTATTGCGATTCTTGAGATTGGGATTCAAGGAGCCTTACATGAAAAGCTGAGTCGGGTTGACCCGAGTGAGGTCAAACCGAATAGCATCTACTTTTAGACACAAAATAATTTTTTTTGCATTGCTATATTTAGAGACAGATTTTTTTTTTTCCGTTGCTAAACTTAGAGACGGATTTTTTTTTCCAACTGCTGATATGAGCAACAGATTTTTTTTTTTTTTCCGTTGCTAAGTTTAGAGTCGGGTTTTTTGCTAATACCAGCGATGGAAATAAAAATCCATTGCTAAGTTCAGCAACGGAAAACAAATACAATGTCACAAGTCTCATTTAGCGACAATAGTTTTGCCAACGGAGTAATTCCGTTTCAAAATCTGTTGCTACCTATATTTAGCGACAGAAAAGTACAATCTAGAAACGGATTTGATCTGTTGCTCAATGTCTATTTTTTTGTAGTGATAATCAGAAAGAATTCCTAAGATGGAAGATTTCTACGGAAATCAACTTGAAGCTCGGTAAAACCTTGATTAAGAGGTGAGGTTTTAACAGTAGATTTTCCAAAGATGGAGGAGATACCACTTCCAAGAGTGAAGGCGAGAAGAGTTGATGATGGCTAAGCACTGCGGTCTTCAACAACTTTCCCTAAGATTGAGAAGGTTGTAACCTAATTTGAGAAGATGGCTCGTGATGAGGTGGTCTTCGACAGATTTCTTAAGATTGTGGAAGTTGTCACCTGATTTGAGAAGATGGCTCGTGATGAGGTGGCTTCAATATCTCCCTAAGATTGCGGAGGTTGTGACCCGAATTCTTTGTAAGATGACTCGTGATGAGGTGGTCTTCGATAGCTACCTAGGATTGCGGACGTTGTCACCCGATTTTTTTTAAGATGACTCGTGATGAGGTGGTCTTCGATAGCTCCGTAAGATTGCGAAGGTTGTCACCCGATTTTCAATACGGCACGAGAGGTGGCGGTTTTTAACAGCGTTCTCTAAGATTGAGGAGGTTCTCACATGGTTGAAGAAGATGGCACGAGATATGGAAATCTTCGACAGCGTTCCCTAAGATTGTGGAGGTTGTCAATTCAAATTTGATCCGATGAGATGTCACCCAGAGGCATGTACCCGACGGTGCAAGATACACGTTTCTTAACTCCTTTATTTGTGGAACTAACGCTTTCTGCAGGTGTCCGTGTTAAAAAGAATGATTTAGGATTGCAGAACGTTCTAAATCATTCTCCGTCCCTATAGATCTACTTTGACTTTTGTTTTTGAAACTTACGCTTCTCCAAACTCAGTCAAAGTGGGGGCTTCTCTAGATACCTCATTGTGTCTCCCCAAAAACCAAACCTAGTAATGAGTACCTTTCACGTCTTTGATTATCGAGTTAGGTTAAGAGCTGAATAGTCTAATGAATTCCCTTTAGCCTTGACCATTTGTAACCTTTCCTTAAATGTTTTAAGCCAAAATCATTCATTTTGTGTCTTTGAAAATCATTCATTTCGTGTCCTCTTTATAAAACGTCCAAACTAGTATATTTTGGTCCATATTCCTGGTCCAATTATTGTGTAGGCTAATTGGGCTTGAAAAGAGTTTTCCAACGATATATTATAGGCCAAAATCCGACTTATAATAAAAAAACTATGGCCAAAATACTTAACCGAGCGCGAACCAAGCCTTACCTGCAACCCAATAACCATGTGGAGGGTCCATTAACCTTAACCTCATTCCTAAAGTGATATTTATTACAAGCTTCTAATATCCTCTAGAAGGTTGTTTTCGATCCTAAATCCCTTAGGATTTATTATTAGCTTCTAGAATCCTCTAGAAGGTTCTAATTTATCCTGTTTTTGAAAAGATAAAGGTATAAGAATTTTACATCGGATAAAACATCTGTTTTTCAATGATCCTAATTTCGGTCAAAATAGAATACTTACTGATATTTGATTAACCCAATCCGATTGGGAATAGATTTCCATACAGATTCAGTCTTTTAAAATCCAACGCTGAGCGATAGCGCCATCGCGCCGCGACAAGGCTGTCGGGTCGCGGTAAAGCTGTCGCGCCACGATGGAATTTGTTTTACTTTGGTTTAAATTCTGAATCTTTTCTAATCCTTTGACCCTCTTTTCCTTATAAATAGAGGTTATCTTCCCTCGTTTTTAATCACCAACAATCATCATCTAACCCTCTCTCTAAGCTAAAGCTTTTCTCTCTTTTCTTAGCCTTAGCCTAGAGACGTCCCAACACCTCTCAAACACACATCTTTTTATAGTTTTATTAATCAAACACCATACCTTCTTCACGAGCCTTGAATACTCCAAACGAAGCTAGAAGTTGCCTCCGACCTCGACGTGAAAGGTTAATAGTTCTGAGGGTTTGGTTCTAAATCTATATTTCAGTTCTTATTTGATTTACTTTATTTATTTGATTTAAACTTTCTTGAAGTTACTAACGTGTGTATTGTTTTAATAGAAAGATATACGAGGCATCTAAGTGAGTAGATCTACTATCCTTATTCCTCGATTTTGATATAGAAATCATATTAAGATATTATATTAATTCCTAGTGTCATGCTAGGATGTTGAATTTGATTCCTAGTATCATGTTTAGGGTGTTAATTAACATTTTTAATATCATGTTTCTTTCTAGTATCATGTTTAGGATAAAGCTTTGATTTTGATTATTTAGTGACATGCTATGGTTTGTTATTAATCCATTTAGTATCATGTCTAGGAACTTGTTAATCATGTTTTGATGGTATTATTATGATGATGATTGTTGTGTCAATTATACATTACTTGATTATTCATGATTTATTGTTATTGCTTGATCAAGCCCTTTCTTGTAAGTTTAAAGGGAAATTTGTACTTGAAATCATGCCTAATAATATAATTAATATAAAATAATTTAAATTCAACTGATCACCAATAATAGATTTATTTGTGAATTAATTATCAACCAACTACATTAAACAGGATTAGGGCTAGTTTAATGTATGTATGTTGATCGAAAAGCGCACATGAATATCATAAGAATTAAGAAGAGGCAGATTTAGTGCGGGTTCAATCTTCAATCTCTTTTATATTGGATTCGTAGCTTCATCCCCGAATATCCAGTCATGGTTCCAGATGTAATACCCTGAAAAATTTCCTTCTTATTGAAATACTCATTCTAGTCTAAATAAAACCCGTTTTAGAAAATAACCAAAATATTACCGCTACCGTGATAACGGCTAAGACTAATTTTCAAAGTCTCACAGCGAAAGTCTACAACATAAGAACCAACTTTTAGAGTAAAGTTTGAGTTCACAACCTCAAAACAATTGTAAAATAAAACATTCACAAGTTGGAACCAATTCAAACATGGCCCTTCTTAAAACTAATTAAAAATAAACACAATATTGTTAGTCCATAAACAATAACCAATCATTCAAAATATAAAAACTAAGAAACATAAGAAGCAACTCTCTGCACTCTATCCCATCATGCTTCAAGTACCTATTACTTCCTCTTTATTTAACCCTCTATTCACCATATAAAAGGGTCATAGTAGGGCCAATCTAAAAGAAAGCCAAACACAACACAAAAGTACGAATCAGCAAAGTTGAGTACATATGCACCACACTAACATGAATATCCTAGCATCAAAATAAAAATAATAATTAAAACATGCTCGTCATACATTCATAAGTCAACTTACCTTTGACTCATAAGCAATATTAATTATTAATAATAATTTTGGATTATGCATCGAACGGGTTTCCTTCCTTGAAAATAGCCTATTTAAATATTGAGCTTCCAATCAGGGAGCTACCCCAATTGGCACCTACTATGTCACCTTGTGACGGAATTCCAGCACATTAATAATAAAAAAAAGTACAGCGTCATGTACTCCTGTAGAAGCTATGGTTAAATATAAAACCCCATAACCCCCCCCCCATATGTTCATACTCAAGGTATATACGTTCCAAGAGTTTTGGTGCTTATCCTCTTACACTTTACGTGATTTACCAATTTAACATGTGATGACTGAAACCAATCAATCAAAAATAAACATAGCAACATTCAACACATACTTCCAATTCATTTTGAAATTAATTAGTGAGCACATACTATCTTGGTGCATAAGATGCACTACTAAACTTTCTTGACTCAAACTCAACTTACATGAGCGAGTAAATAAATAAATTAACTTCTTGACTCAACGCCAATAATAAATGGGTGAGAAATAAAGTCATGAATCATGATCAATAATTCTAACTTTAGCTCTTTAATTCATGTATAAGCCTTGCTTATTAAATACATGTCTTCCTAATACTTGAAAATAAAACAAACTTCCATGATTCATACTTATTCAACCTGTATCATACGTCAAATAACATATTCACATGCTTGCATAACAAATTCATGCTCAACCAACATAAATTCCAAGCATATAATCAACTACATGCTACTAACTCATCACTTAAATCATACTTTACAATCGTAGCACGATACTATACATACACAAATATTCTTGTGTACATACATACCTTAAAAAAAGCCTAAACTCGGCCACACTCGCTAGAAATCACCTAGCTCGAAGCTTCCTACAAATAAGAATACATAACTATAATTAATCTACTATTCTCACAAATTTCCAGCAACTACAATACACTTTAAACCTTACTAATCAACCTAATTTAATGACATAAAAGCCATAAAACATTTTATTTAAGTGGGTACTTCAAATCCTTTCAAAAAGACTTAATTTTTATGACTTAAATAAAATTTCAGCATACTTATATAATATATAAAACATCACTAATAGACTAGAAAATCATATTTTAATCATTAAAACCTTTTTCCCTTTGATGGGTAATCAAACCCTAACTCAATAATTTAAAAGTAGTGTGCATAAATAAATTCCAGCATTAATCTGAGGGTTTTTAACTCACTAAAAACATGTTTAAACCATTAATTAAACAACAACAACAATCTAGGATCAAACCCTAACCATAAACCATAAATTTTCAAATATTAGGGTTTGTAATATTTATACTCTCCTTTTAAAACAAAAACTCATAATTACAAAACTGTCATTACAAAATCCTATTCCCCCTTAACTTCTTCCTTTGGAGCCAACTTGTTGGGCTTTTAAGTGGCCTTAATTTTCCATCATGTTGATCCAATCATTCAAATAAAGATAAACCAATTCAAAACACTTTTATTGCCTCAATTAATGACTCATATTATTCTATACACACTTACAAAATATTTAAATACTGAATTTCTTTTAAAATGAAAATAATCTTTTTGATTTATAAAAAAAATTAATAAAATAAATAATTTATATATAAAAATATTATAAAAATACGGAGTATTTCACCGAACCACTATGTAGTTAGCGATCTTCGTGATCGTGAATTGGGTGTAAACTTCACACCCGTGAACGGTTTACAAGTTCCTTAAACTTGTTGGCGACTCTTTTATCTCTAGCTTCCTTCCCTTTGGACGCCACCATGCCTAAAAGCATGACCACAGTGGGCTCAAAGTTGATTTTGAAAAATTCCCTAAAGGACCACTGTGCAGTTAGTAATCTCATGGATTATGAATGAGGTGTAACCATCATGGATCAAATCGTTGTTACCTTTCGATTTGTCTCTTATTGTGGTTGCCTTTAATGATCCATAATGAAAAGTTTACAAGTTTCTTAAAAAACTTGTTGACGGGTCCCTACTTTTTGTCCTTATCGTTATATGTCAAATCCAACGTCCTGTGATTGTCAAGCATATTTTATGCTCCACGTAGGCGCACTTCGCGCGATGCCTACAATGGGACACTTACATGTGGTGATACTTGGGAGGACTATTTTTCAATAGTCCCTCTCACATGTAAGATCCCTTTTAACTTTGTCTCATATGATTATTCGGGCTAGAGTAATTCTTCACTCCCCTTCACATGGAGCTACTGGATCTTGACCTAGTGAACTTTAGCCATTTAGGATCCCATATCGTGAACTTGGCTCTGATATCTTGTTAAATACGGTTATGAGCCACACCCTCAAACCAAGAGAGAGAGTCCACTTCATAAGTCCAAAGGAGCTTCCATCCTAAATCCATATGGTAATAGGAGGAGTAGCCCCTTAGCCTTATAAAATAATCAACTCTCTCTTCTTCAACCAATGTGGAACACTTACATGTGGTGACACTTAGCAGGTCTATTCTTCAACATTAATTAAAGAACAAATCCACTTTGATTAAGACATTCCATACCCCTCCAATAAATCTGACCGCGATGGTGAAAAAATAAATAAATTGTGCTAAACCCACATTCAAATATTACAGATTCCAAAAGAAAATAAATTATGCTAACAATCGACAGATGGAAAAATCAACTTCCCACCAAATTAAAAATATATAGAGAAAACTAGTACTGATTTAGAGTGATTATACAACAAATCTCTTTGCCAAAAAAAAAAAAAAAAAAAAAATCTCACACTAAACTAGAAATTATAACAAGAAATTAGAATTTCGACCAACAAAGAATCAATAAATTAAACAAAAATTGTGTCAATTAAATCAGTTCAAACTCAATAAATTAAGAGATTAAACTACAATTATTATTATTATCGATGATTGATAAGAGAGAGTGAGAGGAGTACCACTACGTAGAATTTTGATGGTGGAAGAGAGAGAAAATGAATTCTTAAAGAACAACGCAGCCGCCGATCTGTAGGAATTAGATGAGATGGTGGGATGTGGGAGAGTATAGTTGACCGAGGATTTAGAAATTTTTAAGGTATGAAATTTTTTAGTTCAGTAGGCTTTGTAATTGAGAGGTGTGGGCCACATTTTAATTTTCAATATAGTGATATTTTTAAGAGTCGAAAATTGATTGTCTTAAACAAGCGTCAATATGTGTAATTAATATTTTGGCGCATAAAAATAAATAGCTACCTATTTCAAAAGCATCATAGCAATTGCGTCACAATTTGCTACATTTCCTTGTAGTAATCACAATACAACATGTGCCTGGTGTAACCTATTAAACAAGTTGCCGGTTTTTTGTTCTATTTTGAGCATTTTTTGTTCTATTTTGAGCAGATTCAGATCAAAAGTCATTTTATTTTGGAACAATTGAAGGATCATTTTTTTTGGAAGACCTGTTAAAGAGTGTTTGATTTGTGACAATTTTTCCTAAAATTACCCTACTCAATTACATATTTTCATCGAAGTTTTAGTTTTAAACGTGTATTTTTTTCTTAATGTATATGCATGAGAAAATTTAATAAACAATAAAGTAATTCATTTTTAAAATTACTATTGTAATACCCCGAATTTTCGAAAAAAATATTTTCTTAATTATTTTAATAATTTGCTCGATTATTCGAATTAGGAGCCAAAATTAATTTTAAATTCTGGCGCCAAAAATGAATATCTAATTATTTAAACAATTAATTACTTTCGGATCTCTAAATTAATTATCTTTTATTAGACGTTCCATATTTATTATGTACATATTATTTTCCGGATTTTTAATACTTGACAATTTCAATAGTTTTACAACTAATTTTTGCCTTGATATATCTAAGGTATTTTTATTTAATTTTTGCAATGATAAATTTAATCTAATAACAAAAATTAATTATTTTCTTAAATTAAAATATGATTTTCGTAGGAATAATTTTATTTTATTTATTTTTTTTTTTAAAAAAAAGATCAGATTTTTTTTAAATCAGTTGTTGGCCGAAAAAAAAAACTGGAAAAAATCAATTTTATTTTTATTATTTTGTGATTTTATCTTAGTTTAACTTAACCATTAAACTTTCTTCAATAACTTAGCTTACTCTTATTCTTATCTCATTCCTTCTAATCCTCTAATCAAATGAACTTATATCCAATCTTTCTACTCATCTTTTACACCCAACTATTAATCTAGACTTAATTTGATTCAAGTACCTTAACAACCCCAAAAACTTATCATATTTTCTAGTATTCATATCATACCTTAAGCTTTATCCTTCTACACTTTAAACACTATAAATATACTCTTAATCCCTCTCATTAACTCACATCAAAAATTAGATTATCTCCTCCCTCTATAACCTAAATTCAGGCTCTCCTTCTTCCTCTCTTTCTTTCTGGAATTCCTTCATTCTCTTTGCTCAAACAAACACCACAACCCCGTACTAACTTCGGACCTGCTATACTGCCACCACCCTCTGCCGCCCTGATAACCACCTTGTTGCCGCCACGCTGCCCTCTCTCCGTTGCTGCTACTGCTGCTTAGGTGTTGCATGTGCAACATCCTCCTTCCCTTATGTTGCTGTATGCATGCATGTTTAAAAAAATAAAAAAAAAAACAAAAAAAAACTCTTCTTTCTTCCATTATTATTACGATTACCCTTATATTATTTTGATACCTAAAAAATATTATTATGCCACTTAATTTAAACACCAATAATATAAATTTTGATACTAATAATAATAGTATGCTACTAACATAGATTGTTGAAACTTTTAAATTCTAAAAGTTAAAATTTTGGTAGTTCATGCACAAATAGTGTATTATTTATAGTTTTGTATTTATTTTGTTAACCTTATATTAATTAAGATAATCTTAATTGTGTAGGAGGAGTCCCTCGATCGTGGTCAAGTTTAGTGATCGTATCTTAATTGTTCTTGTGATCAAGTATAGGTGGCTAGTTTCAATGCATGTTTTGGTAAAGGTTTATTTTAATTATTGTTCGAATAATGTTGCGTATGGAAGATTTAAGTTAATGGCTTTCATGTTGAGTTAAAATTTAAATTTTACGATTTAAAGGTTTTGTCTTTAAAAGTGTAGTTTAACTTAATAAAAGTTGTTTATGGATCACCGGATTTAAAGCTATTGAATTAAAAGAATTAATATAAACTTGTAGCCCTTTATGGAACTGAGTATTTATTATTTTGATTTTCCCTCTACCCGGGACTGGTTAAGTAAGACCATGAGCTTTGTATGATCTGATCTTTCCTCGAGTATAGTTTAACTTGTCGGGGGGGGTGTGCACACTTAGGTGAGAAAAATTGATTTTGGAAAGTGACCTTTGGAAAGTTTGAATTGGAATAATTATTTAGAAAGAATGTCTGTCTAATAAAAGCATTTACATGCCTTGCACTTATATGTACTTAGCGTTTTTTCTAATCCGTTTTCCTTTTTGTTTTGGTTTGCCATGTTTACCAATATTGGTAAGCAGTTTTGATTTCAGGTGTGGATTTGATCATGCGCATACTTGAGTCGGGATTGGGATCACCTAGTTAGGAATTTAATTTACTCATTCATGAGTCAGACATGTGTTTTTTTATTTGGAGTATTTTCGAACTTTATATTATAGTTATTATAATATTAATAAAGTCAATTATTTTCCGCTGCCATTTTTACTAGTTAAGTAAGCCTTACGTTTTCACGTGGCGGTAATACGCCCAACTCTACCTCTACGGTATTTTATATGTTTAAATATAGTATTTACGTAAAGGGAGATTTTGGGGTGTTACAAAGTGGTATCAGATTTTTGGGTCTAAGAAAGATTAAAAATTGAGAAATAGAATATGTGGGTAGACTTAGGATGGGCATATAGGATAGATAGAGTTTTGCATTCTTTGAAAGTAAAACAATTTCCTAAAAAAAAATAAATAAATAAAAATAAAAAAAAAAGAATTAGTTTTCCTTATTTGGAAAGATGATTGAGAAAAGGATTCTCGAGTTCTCTTCGGATGCCTATAATGGGTACCACTCTCTGTTTAGGAAAGGCTCGCCTCGACGCTGTAGGTAACTTTTCTGGGAGACGCGGGCTCGACCGTCTAATATCAAGAATCGAGTACATTATTATTTTCAAAAACAAAATGAATTGAAAGTATTTGATTTTGGAAACAACTTATGTGCATTAGTTTAAGTATAGGGTCGTGTAGTCGTTTGTGTGTTCATAGAATTTCAAGTTCCATTAGTATTTATTTTTTATTTATCCTTGAGGAAATTTGAATCACTTACTTAAATAGTTTGTATTATCACAGATGATGGAAACTGCTAGAAGACATTTCTTTGATCAAAGGCTAGTAAAATCGGACTTTATAACATACATTGTTTTGCATGCTATTGATATCAAAAGAAACAGGAATATGAAATTTATGAGCGAAGCACCATGGATCATCCTACAGGCCTTAGTCCACTTACCGAACACACCTAAATATGAACTATTAAACAAAAAGTATAAGGATTTAATTACACCTGATGTGTTACGGAATATAGAAAATTATATGCATGAAGGAAAATGGCTAGGAACCTTGATCAATTTTAAGGCATACCTACATTACACTAAGATTAATTGGAGCCTACCCCCGAGACCGGTAGTTGCTGAAATTCCTCTTCGACTTACACCACAAGTAGTAGAAACCTTAAATAATCTAAACCATGACATGCCACCCTTACCACCTCCACATTTCCATCTTGAATATACATCATCTTATGACTTAGAAATCCCTCACCCAAATGACTTTGAATCTCCACCTCATTCCCCTGAACCTCCTGTTCCAAGAAGCCAAGTATCTAGCCAAAATTGCAGCTCAAACCGTGACCCCAACCCATATGTTAGCCCAAACCGTAATTCTAGCTATAGCTCGTGTTGTAGCCTAACTTATAGTTAGTATATCCCACCTTTTTGCTTGAACTTTTACAAATTCCAACCTACTTGGCTAAACCTTTAGATCCTGATTCCCCTTAGCTTTCCATAGGAAACATGGGTGACGTGGCCAGAGAGGATGATCCAGCAAGCTAAAACAAAGACTAGAACTTCTAGATAGCAAATTTTTTATTTTTTCCATTAGTAGCAAGTTGTTTTGTTTGTCTTGTAAGCTAAACAGTGGCCCTTATGAATTCTTAGTCACAAGATAAATTATTTGTTTTAATAAGCCTATGTGGCTAAGTATTAAATTTAAACAATTAATAAAAAGTTCAATGAAGTTTTCTTTATATAATAAAATGTGTATTTGTTATTCTAAGTTGTTTAGGATGTCTTTTGAGAGCCGGAAATAGTAGACGCACGGGTGATTTCACAGAAACTTCTAGACATGACCAACAAATTATGAAAACTAGAAGAATTTAGAAAGTTAATGACTCGAATTGTACAGAATATGGAAAAATCAGAGGCTTTTTATAAGCAAAATTGAAGCAAAAATCGAAGTGCATTCAGATTGGAATTTCCCAAATCTATCACGCCGCGGCAAAGTCAACGCGCCGCGACAAGCCTGTCTCGCCGCGATAAAACCTAACGTCCGCGACAAAAACCGCATCCTGATAAAACCATTGATCTGATTTTGTACTTTGAATTTTTCCGAATTACATCCAATTTTTTCACTTTCCCACATATAATTCACCTTTTCCTATGATGGCTCAACCTTTTGATTTAATCTTAATTGAATTGGGAATTTCTAAAGTTAATTTTAAACTTATTTTTGCCTCATTTTCATTTTTTTTTCATTTTTCTTTTTGGGGGAGAAAGTCGGATACCCTCCAATGATAATTAAAATGACATGAGTCTAACATACATATAATACAAGAAAAGTCCAAAGATAGTCCCAAGGAAATGATGCAGGGAACAACTATGGCAGTGGAGGACGCGGCTCTCAAGGAATACCCATCACATCGTAAAAATACAAAGACAGCGGGGTCAACACTTGACCGGAATCAGTACCGCTAGTCGTGGGGATCATGAGTGTAGGACCCCTCCACTGCGCACCCCCCATCAAGACCGTACTGCTGAAAACTAACACCATTAAAGGGAGCAAGCACAGGCTGCTGCGACGACGAGTCAACCTCGTATGTCCCACCACTAAACTAAGATGACGGACTAGCCGAAAACGTGTCTTGGACCATGTGAGGTCGTACCACCAGAGT